TTCGTGCTGAGGGTATACCCAAGACAACTTTCTCTACTTGGTTAGGACATTATGAGTAAACCATTATTTCTTTTGGATTAACAAATGCCCCTACATACTTCATGTACTTTATGAACTCTATCTTCTTTATGGAACTTGATATCTTTGTAGTGATCTTTATCGATGACATTGTTATCTTCTCCAAGGCCAAAGGAGAGCATGTCGAGCATGTCCGTGTTGTACTTCAAATGTTGCATGATCAATCGCCACTATGCCAAGTTTAGCAAATCTGAATTTTGGCTTAGAGAAGTGTCTTTCCTTATACATATCCTTTCTTAGGATGGTATCACCATGGACACAAGCAAACTGAATGATGTGCTCAATTGGAATCAACTACAAAGTGTCACAGAAATCCAGAGTTCTCCAATCCAAGCCATGACCGATCTATTGAAACAAGGAGTTGAGTTCAAGTGGACAAAAGAATGTGAAGGAGATTTTCAACACTCAAGAGCCGTCTCACTATGGAACCTATTATTGGTTTACCCAATATCACTAAGGGATTTGATGTGTATTGTGATGCTACTCATACTAGACTTGGTCATGTTCTTAAGTAAGAAGGCCGAGTTATTACTTAGGCTTCTCATCAATTGAAGCAGCATGAAGGAAATGATCCTACTCATGATTTAGAGCTTGTCGTGCGAGTTCATGCTCTCAAGATTTAGAGGCATTATTTACTTGGAAACCCTTGCAACATCTATAGGAACCACAAAAGTCTCAAATCCATTTTTACCCAATCGGAGCTCAACTTGACACAAAGAAGATGGCTTGAATTGATCAAGCACTATCAATTGGATGTACACTGTCACCCCGATAATGCTAATGTTGTAGCCAAGATGCAATTTCTTGTGTATCCCTTCCAGAGTTGACACACTTTGTGATGATTTTTGAAAGTTCAACCTTTCTATGATCAAGCATGGATCAGTTGCTACCCTTTAAATCACATCCAACCTTTTGGACCAAATTAAAGAAGCTCAAAAAAAGGATACATGTATGGCAGAAATTCGAGCAAGGACATCAAAAGAAAAGGCCAAGTGTTTTACCTTGGATGATCAATGGATACTATGGTTGGGCAAGCTCTTTGTGCTTCCCAAGGATTTTGAGCATAGAAAGAAAATTCTCGATGAGGTTCATAGCTCTAAGTTTTCTATCCACCCTAAAAGCAACAAGATTTATCAAGATTTAGAGCAAAGATTTTGATAGACACTTATGAAGATACAAATTGCTCAGTATGTAGCCAAATGTGATGTTTGCCAATGAGTGAAGGCCGAACACCTCAAGCCGACTGGAATACTCCATCCACTCCCTATTCCTTCTTGGAAATGGGAGGATATGTCCATGGATATTATCACTAGATTACCCAAGACTCTTCAGGGCGACAATTCTATTTGGGTGATTGTGGATTGACTCACCAAATCTATCCATTTCCATCTAGTTAAAGAAAATATGATGTGGATAAGTATGCTGAACTTTACCTTACAATACTTTTTTGGCTTCATGGTGTTTCTAAGAGTAACTCCAATAGGAGCCCTCAAATCATGGCCCCTACTTTTGATTTGAGGGCTCTCCATACTCTTGAGGGTCTCTTTTCTCTACATCTACTCCAACTAGGGCTCCCAAATCAAGGCCTTCAAATTCATTCCAATAGACACTAACATATAGGACACACTCATCATTCGGCCATATCCACCATCATTCTAATTGACTGAGCTATGGGACGAAGGAGAGGAGAGGGAGGAGCACTGGAGATTGTACAGACAGGAGAGCCCTGGCAGGGTCGAGTACGCCGAGGAGGGGAGCCACACAGGGCTGAGAGGCATCGCAAGGGGAACCACACTAGGGGAGGGGAATACGGTGCAACGCGATGGCATGGGGGAGAATGGAGAGAAAAAAGATGCGTGGGAGTTGGTGTGGGGAAAAACATTTCCTACCAAGAAGTAGGGAGCTCCCTAAACACCCATGGGAAATGGGGTTGAGGCAGGAGATTTGAAGGCCTCCATAAAGCAGGGGCTTGAGTTGGGGCCCTGATGGATTAAAATGTTTTGCTATGGCACAAAAAAGTAGAGTAGCGACCATGTTTCGGGCCCATGTTGGAGATGTTGTAAGTCTATTGTTTCAGATAGAGATCCAAAATTCATAGCTCAAATTTAGGAAAGTCTTCATATTTTTATGGGAACTGACCTCATTTCTAGTACTGCTTATCATCCTCAAACCAATGGGCAAACCAAGTGAGTAAATCAAATTCTTGAAGATGTGCTTTGAGCATGTTCTCTATGGCGAAGATCAGGATGCATGTTTATCCTTCGCATAATTCTCCTATAATAATAGCTATCACACAAGTATTGGCATGTCACCATTTGATGTTTTGTATGGACACAGTTGTAGAACTTCTACACTTGGTCAAAATTGGGGAATGAGCATTTTTTTGCTCAGACATTATTGTTGAGACTGGGGAAAAAGTTAAGTGAATTCAAGAAGGGCTACCGGTAGCACAAGGTTGCCTAAAACATTATTCCGATCAGTTGCAAAGAGAGTTATCCTTTAAAGCTGGAGATCGTGTTATCTCAAATTAACATTGTTCAAATCCAACAAACATTTCCAAGAAAAGGGCAAGTTAGCTCCAAGATATGTTTGCATTCCAAGTGTATAGAGTGATCACTTATAAATTGAATCTTCCAAAAATCTCTCTCAGTGATTCATGATTTTTTTAATGTTTCTCAATTAAAGAAATGACTTTGAGTTCTCATGAAAGCTGCATTGTGGAGGAACTAATGCTACATTTTGTCCATGTCTCTCACTGAAAGAAATATCACAAGATTCAATTAATGTCCCTTCCCTCTACCATTGTTTCTCATGTTTGTCCTCTCTCCCTCACCATGCGCTCGATCCTCTTGCTCTCCTCCTTCCCCAGCTCAACCCCACCTCTTGCCCACCATTAGAGACTCTCCTCGCTGGAGAAAGCTCACCGGTGGAGCTTCCCCAAGCTGGACTCAACCCTCTCCATTATGGTGAAGCTCTCGAAGCACACAATTTGTTCTTCCCCAACTCCGGTGAAGCAAGTCTAAACCCAATATCCCCCACTACTGCTCTACTCCAAGTTGTGGCTCCCAAATTCTTTTCCCACCGTAGGTGAGATCCCCATGGCATTTGCCCTTTCCTCCATCCCTCGGAGCTTTGCTAGGGCCTGCCATGGTGGCTCCTCTTTTTAGGTTGTGCTTATCGTCCAAACCATAGTGCCTATCATAGTTAGTTCTTAAATCTGAACCCCTTGATCTAAGAAAATCTAGGATTAAGTGTCATTGTGACCGGTCACTAGAATCACTGGCAATGACGTTTTTAGGAGCTTGACCACTTAATTACATTTGGGCCGCTAGACTCTTTTTAGTTAGACTTTAAGTGTTTATCTATATAAGTTTGGTGTGTTGTGCTAGCATGAAAACTTTCTTTCATACATTTTTATGTTGCAAGTTTGCATGTCATACATCATGGCATGGCATTGTTATTTGTTCCACATCATTGCATTCGTACACTGAATTAGATGTTAGAGCAAGCGGAGATTGAACCTGAGCCAAAGTGTGTAGCTGATGAGCCATGTTGAGAACCAAGGCAAGCACCTAAGCATCTTGAATCCTTATTTTGGAATGGAATTGCTATATATATGTTAACGCTTGCACAGGAGCTATTCTATATATAGATGAATGATGGATTTGGAACCTACTTCATGCATAATCAACCTTGTGTTACTTACCACAAATCCTCCAAGTAAGCTTGTATAAGAGTCGTCATGCATAATTTTTTATTGATTCTTAGATATCGGTTGGAGTCGAGGAGTGGCAAGGTCACCACTACTCGTGAGCTTATACAGATATCATGTTAATTTAATTACAACCTCTAGTTGATGATGAGATAAAATAACAGCAACGATGATTGGTGACCTAAGGCTTGGGCGTGTATTAGGGTCATGTTGGGAGTGGAATCCAAATGAAGTAGACCCACTTGAGTTGATTATGGACCGATGCGCCGTTGCTTTGATATTGTAGTAGTTTTTTGTACAAACCACATCTCACCTATGGGAATGGTAACCCGAGTAGTGTGCTTCGACCGTGTAAGAAAAATGGCACCTAGCTAGAGCCATATGTGATTTTGGTGGTTGAGTGACAACATGATCAATTGGTCTAATATGGTTTGCTAGTATAGAAGGTTTTAGTCCTAAGGATGGACTTGGACAAAGGCAACTTGAAGATCAAGTGATCAACACCTTGTGAAAACATAAAGTGTTAGAAGCCCAGAAGAGAAGACGTGACATGCATTGTAGACAGACACTAGAATACTCCAGTGGTACACAGGAGCAGAGCAATTGAGAAAAGGTGTTGCTCATTTAGGATCAGTCTGATCGTGGTGGTCACCGGAAATCTCTGGTGATGAATGGTGGGCCAGCACCGGAGCTCTGGCTGACAACAGTGCAAAGGAGTGCTCACCCATCCTTCCGGTGCTCACCAAAGACCACACCACCAAAAATAGTGTATGAGTTGAGGGTTTGGTGACCAGCGATTAAGCTGCATCTAATGAGTAATGAAATTTGAGATTAAAAAAAAATAGTGCCTGAGTAGTTGGAGGCTCAGTGGAATTCGACAGAGAGCAACGGAACCTTCTGTCCCATTACGGCGACAAATCCGAGTACCATTCCTTCTTGAGTTGTTTTCCCTTAAGTTATGGCGACAAGGTGAAACTAAATTTGGCCGGGCATTATTTTGTCATGTTGCAATGCACAGGCATATATAGTTCTAATTGTATTAGAAAATAAATAAAAAGTATAATTTAGTATGATTAATTTTTATTATTACAATGGTATTAAGCAGGAACTAATGTTGATTCTAGCCGATATATTGAAATCAGGGTTGTCCGTTGAATCCAAGGGCCATAAGGATCAAAGATTCAAAGCTAAAATGTAGTACTCATAAATACTAGATATGACAGGTGCAGGCAAGCATCAGTACCTCCTGTTGCAGTTGGGGCGGACGGTGACCAGCGGGATTAGCGTTGGGCGCCATGCCGTGGTTGTTGATGATGGCGAAAGTCGCCGCCGCCAATTTCAGCGACATATCTTCCTGTACCTGCTGCAGCTCTTTCGTTATGTCTTCCGCCCTGTAGAGACGCAGCACTTGCTCCAAAAAGTTTAGATCCCTTGTCTGGCAGGCCCTGACGAGCCTGAGGGCGCGCCTGATGGACTCCTCCAGATCATCCAGTGCATCCCTCACACTGGAGTTATTGTTTTTGTTCCCCTTCCAGGCCTGCAGATCCTTCCAGGCGCGATTCGCTATACGCTTAATCTCTTTGCACTTCTCGGCGTTGGTGCGATCGGCGTCGTACATCGCGGCCAGACGGGCGACCCCCATGACCAGATTGCCGGCAATCCCTCCTGCCATGCTGCCTACTACGCGAAACAGAGTACACATTTGTTAGATCGAACACCGGATACACGCAGCCGAACAACTCGTCAACTCAACACCAAGGAAATGGAGATATCGAGTTATCCAGAAATTAAACACAAACTTGTTCTCGACTCGTAGAAATCAATTAAATCACGAAACTTCTTCTCGATTAATCAGGTTATTTGTGGTCGACTCGCAGCAATCAATTAATCAAGAAACTTCTGCATCTCGACTCACAGAATTCAATCAATTAATCACAAGAAACTTGTTGTCGACTCGCAGCAATCAATTAATCAAGAAACTAGATTCTTCGTCTTGAGTCTCTGACTCACAGAAATCAATTATTCAAGAAACTTCTCCTGGACTCGCAGAAATCTATTATCAAGAAACCTCTTCTCAACTCACAAATCAATTAATCAAGAAACTTGTTCTCAACTCGCAGAAATCAATTAATCAAGAAACTTTCCTCACCTCACAGAAATCAATTTATCAAAGCAGCCGAATCTTCCAACCTCCAGCTTTGGTATGTACAGAGGTGCGACTTCCTTTCGCTAGGAAGCCCAGCGAGTAGTTTCGGCGTATCATATATACGGGTACCTTTCCTGGGAAGCAATGTAAGCACATTGGTCAAGACAATAAATAATAGTTGGTCGTGTCCCCACCCATCAAATGCCGTATTTGACCATCCAACAGCCTGTTCGGGAGGTCGTATCGTATCGTGGATTATTTACTGCTGGCTGGTTTGGTGTGAGAGAAAAATACTGTTTCCGGCTAGAAATTTACGATCGTTTACGAGCAAGCGAACAGGCTTTTGAGAGGGCCAGTGTGGGTTAGTCCCAAAAAATCCAGTGGGCACCCACTAAAGCCATTGGCAGGTGTACAACCAGTTAGTGCGCGTTTAGTTCCCAAAATTTTCCAAAAAATACTGTAGCCATGAAGTTCCCCAAAAAGAGTGCACTGTAACTTTTCATGCGGCGTTTAGTTGCCAAAATATGAAAAAGAACTTTACATCATTTAATGAACTGCATGCAGCTTATTAATGGCATGCATGCATGACATTGCATGCAAGTCAAGACAGGAGTTCATGCATCCGTCCTGGCGCCACCTTCTCATCAGCACAGCAAACAACACGTATGTTCAGGGAACCAACAATTATTGTGAAACAAATCAAATGCCCAATGTTCACCCAGCAATGGTTCTTGGACAAAAAAAATTACAGTTACACAGTCGCCTCAAACAGACGACCAAATCATGTTCGATTAGCAAAACCGATTGCGATGGATTCCCGGAATGCATTCATCAGGTCAGAATCAGAACTACCGCTTGGAGGAATAGTTTCCGGCTGATCGGCATAGGTTTCTGCCGGCACTTAGTTTTCATCCCGGTCACACCGAGCAAAGTGCCTATCCCCTATGCCACTCACCCTTATGAAGTTATGCAGGGCACAACATGCAACAATGATTTGACTTTGTATATGGGGGGCATAACTAGGGACTTCTTTCATCATCCGCCACTTCATTTTCAACACTCCAAATGACCTTTCTATGACATTCCTAAGTGAAGAATGTGCATAATTGAAGATCTCAGTTTTACCTTGGGGTTCTGGTGCCTCTCGGTACTCCTGCAGGTGGTACTTTGTTCCCTTGTACGGTGCAAGATAACCTGGTTAGTTAGCGTACCCCGAGTCCACAAGGTAATATTTGCCTACACCATCCAAACAATAGTTAGTGTCATGAACTTCAACTAGTATGCACAAAAGTAGAACCAACTAATTGTATACCTATTGGTGAATGTGGAAACACGTTGGTGTATGTTGTTGTCGCATCATTGAAGATCCTCATGTCATGCACTAAACTCGGCCAGCCAGCTAGGACGAATGTAAATCGCATGTCGAAGTCACACACAGCCAAGACATTCTGTGTTGTCATCCCCTTGCGGCACAGGTGCTGCACAAACTTATCACTAGGCACCACACAGGGGACATGAGTCACATCTATAGCCCCTATACAGTCCTTGAAGTAGGGATAGAACCTAGGATTTCTTAGCCTATCATGCATAGTGCTGAAATTTGGGTCATTAGGCCTAATGATGTCAGTAGCAAGCTTGACAACATACTTCAACACCCTGTGAAACATGCTATGAACAGTCCCCAGTGACCTCTCAAACTTGTCCTCTGCTTGCCTAACGGATTGTGGAGCCCCCACCATCCACAGAAACATCCCAAGAGCCTCAATAGATGCCGATTTGCTACTAGATTTCAGCCCATATGATTCTACCAAAAGATCATGCAGCCTAAGGAACATATCAGGGCTCATTCTGAACATGTTATAACATGCCTTCCTATTTTCTAGTTTACTATGTACTCATTCCAAACCAGTAATGGCTGGCTATCTATACTCTGACCTTGACAAGTGCTTGTCAATGTGGTAGGCATACTGGTACATACCGTACAGGAAAGCATCGTCATCATCATCGGCCTCCATCCAGTCACTGATGAACTCTTCGAAATCATCCTCATAAGAAGCTTGCCTCGATGACATTAGTCCCGTGACTATTGATTGGACATACTCCTGTCAAAATGAAAAACAGTTTCAATCAGTTTTCAACATCAACTAGGCAACATGAGCATGCATCCCTATTGGAACTGACTGATGCCGGTTACTCAAACTCATGCACTACATACATCAACAGATTAAGCAGTTCAAGTGTTCGACATGACAAACTTAGTTCAATGACAAATGACACCCACCACACCTCACATAGTTGAAATGACATAACAAATTAACTACGTAGACAGCTTAAGAAAATAAGGTCTAGTGGAGGACCCCGATGTATTGCTTAATCGTCAGCATCCTTCCTTGGGGCGAGGAGTTTATGAAGAAGTTCATCACAGGCTCACTCTGCACGATCTTGAGCACGACCATCCACTCAGCTGGGGTCTATTCAGTTGCCCCACACTATCTTGCCAACTGTAGCACTAGTTCAACCTTCCTCTCCAGCGCCTTGGTTTGGTCCTCAATTTTTTGGTTCCTCTCTTGCCACATGGCTGTCATCCTCTCAAGCCTCTGCCTTGAAATATCATTGTGTTCCTTCATGTGACCATCCATGGTCCTGACAGCGGGGCTCTTGGACCTCTTGCTTAGGCTGGAGGCAGTTGTGCTGGTGTTGCTTGCCCTCTTAGTGCCGATACTAAGTGGCGTTAGTTGGTCGTCTTGCTCATCATTGGAGTCCTCATCTGAACTGTCCACGTCAACTGTGTTGCTTTGTGCAGGACAGAACGAAGTTGAGCCATCAACAGCGGTGCCGGCGAACATCCGGTCCAAATCGTCCAAGTACGGAGGCCAACCGTCCTTGAGCTTCTTCCACTCAGGGTGTCCCTGAAAAACCGGTACAGGTCAATCATGGAATATTAACATTTTAACATTAAATGATTGAACATAAGTTTGGTTACATACCACCGTACGAGATTCCCACCAACCATCAGTAGCAAGGATGGAGCCATCCTCTCTTTTGCCTAAGCCAGAGGCTTTCCGGAGGTCGTTTATAAAATGCCATAAATGCCTGAGCTGCCGTAACTTACTTTTGAACTGGTCCTTGTCATGAACCAAGTTTGTTGCTGCATAATACCTTGCAATCAGATCTCTCCACCCTGACTTGTTCATCGAGCCACGGACACAGTTGCCACTGTCAATTTGGTGGCACCAGATTTGGCAAAACTTGCTGATATTGGGCTCAGACCAGTTTCCCCTGTCATTCCTAGCCTAAATGATTTGATAAAACATGATTTCACACCCATAAACAAGCAAATACTACTAAATATTCAACTGAAGAGACAGCTCACGGTAGCAGCATGCACACAGAAGGGGAAACGACAAAAAAACTGATATTAGGCATTGAACAGAAACTAAGTTGATGAAGACAAAAATAATTTATTTGCTACAATGATATAAAAAGCAATGACATAGTTACTGATCATTGTATTAACTAAAACTGAACAGAAAACAGTTAGTGATCAAGCTACTAACTGGAACTAAACAAACAACAGCTATTGATCAAGCTACAAACTGAAACTGAAGAGAGAACAGTTAGTGATCATAGTAGTATCTCAAATAGAACAACCAACAGTTAGTGATCTATCTAGTAACTGACAATGAACAAACAACAGTTACTCATCGTACTAGTATCTGAAAATGAACAAAGAACTGTTATTGACCATTCTAATAACTGAATCCGAGGTTGGTCATAGTAATTTTCAAGGTACACAGCCATGACATGGTCACGGCAATATAGAATACCAATGACTGAAAGCTCCATACAGGGTCAAGTTCACACTAATAGTACAAGAATCTTTGATTCAACGATACCACATACCCAAATGTGGGCAGCATACCTTCAAGTTTGAGCTAAGTTGCAATTAACAGTCTTATCATTGCAATGAAAGACACGGAAACTCTCTGACATTAGGCTGCACAAATAGATGCAAAGGGAAAGATTGCACATGTGGCTGTGAGCATAACTGGGACATGCATGCATACAAACAATCAATGATGGGGCCAAAAGCAAATGATTGGAACACAATAGTATACATGAGCAATGCAAGATAGAAGATGGGTGAGGACAACTACCGGGATGTGACCCACGGGGGTAGCATGAATCGGGTGCACGATGTCATCGTCCACGTCTGGGACAGCCCCGCGACGCCAGCGACGGCGTCCCCTTCCTCCGGTAGAGAAGACTGATGCAGAGGCGCGACCACGATGGACGCGCGGCACACGGTTGCTGTAACAGAACCGACCAATTATACGAGATTAAGTAAGAAAATCTTCCGCCGAAGCAGATAATTTAGCAAACTTAAGCCCGTATAACCCGGTAGTCCGTGAAACCACGAAGGATTTCAAACCAATCGACATACAAACCAAGATCGTACAAGTTTAGCGAGTACCGTCATACGTTACATAAACTTCACAACGACAGTAGATACATCAGAGTTTAGA